ATTCACACGGGGAGTGAGCTCGTGCGTAGAACTTACCTGTAAGAAAGTTCTCTACGTCGCAGGCCTGAGTTCAAGGAGGATTGGGTGAGTAGCCCCCTTGGTGTACCAGCACGTCTTTTGGCTTAAGTACCGAGCGTGTGCTGTGGGACAGCCTGGGCATAGCCATCCGACAGCCCTGGGTTTGAATTACAGCTTCCCTATACTAGCTGTGTGACCTTGGGCAAGTTACTTCACCTTTCTGAGCCTGTTTCCCAGTCTGAAAATGTGGATAATAGCACACTACCTTGGAGAGTTATGTTGAGAATTCTGTGTAAATAATGCATAAAAGCAGCCGGGTTATAGTAGCTCAATAAATATTATAATGTTCCTTTTCCCCTTAATAGGATTCAAATTAAACATACCTTTCAGGTAAAGGTCATTATATTGTCACTGCCTTGACACCAGCAACAGACGTTCTTTCCTTCGCAGGGAAGAAGGAAGAAAGAATAGTTTCTGCTCTTCCAGAATGAAGTCAGACAGTGCAGTAGTTCCCGAGAACGAAGGCCTAAGAGAGCCACGCTATTCCGCTATTCAGAGATGCACCATGGCATCCCACAGTTGCGGCCAACCACAGGGCAGTTGTGACACAGTTGTCGTGGCCTGCCTATGTATGAACTTGGTCAGAGCTGTTTTTATGATCACCGCTTTAATTATGTGCACTATTGGTTCCACTCATGTTGTGGCTAATTGCCATTTAAAATGTCTCCAAAATCGCACTCGGAATCGGCTTTGAGATGCAAAGTCACCGTGAATACTGAAAGGCACCCAGAGCAAAGCAGCACGGTGTTCATTTGCTATTAGTTAAACAGATATTTGCATTGCTGTGTTCTTGAGAAGCAACAAACAAGTTCTTTGGGGGGCCTAATAAAGGACGGTAGCTTCTAGATGAAGTTGGATTATGTCTTGTTACTGAGATACCCTTGGGAAAATACGCACGTTGATGACTGAATCAAAATGATGCAGGGTGGTCAAACTCCGAATGTTGAAGGAGTGTTTTAGGAATTGCTTAAACAAATGTATTTTGCTGTATTTTCCTTTTAAGGTGAGTGATCAAGAGTGATAGGTGGTTTTTAAATTTTGTCGTTGTAAGTGGTGAGGAAGTAACAAATTACAGTTTACTTGTGGTCTTTTGCATCCTTGGTGGTATATAAAACCAAGAATAAAGATTGCCTTCTGAAGAAAGTGTCAAGCAACCTACTGAGCTCAGTGAGTAGAAGGGTGACAAGAGTGTGCTTGGTGTCAGCAGCACATGTGCCTGACGATGCATAGCAAGCACCTCACACTCACAATGGAGTCTCGACTGTCCTCACCAGGGCTTTGCCAGGTATCCCTCAGAACCAGGGCAGGAACAAGAAATCATTCTTTGGGTGCTAAGCGAATGGGTCCAGTGGGACCAGCCATGTCAGGGCCTCAGAGAGAACCCATCTGGACATGAGAAGTTACTGAGCCTACCGTGTGCTACTCCTATAACAGGCACTTCATGGGTTATCTCCAACCCTTGCAACAGTCCTGGAAGATTTCCAGTGGGGCAGGTCCTGCACTTTTAGGAAGCACTTTGCCAAAAAATAACAAAAGATGTAAAAAAAAGAAAAAAAAAAAAAAACCCAACAGCGCACACACAGACACACACACACACACACACACACAACAGCCCTGCTTCTTGATTTAGTAATTCCATGATTGGGAATTAGTGCCCATGAAGTTGTTCATTTTCATTACTGCATGACTTATAATGAAAAGTTGGAAGCGACTTAATGTCTAACTCTGGAAATAGGGTGCAGTAAATTAAGGCATATCCATACCTGGTGGAATATTACACAGTCTTTAATCACAAAGATTATAGTCTAATATGGGAGACGTTAATGTAGCCAATGAGAAAACAATAAAATATGTATGCACTCTATAATTTCGAAGGTATAAATATGTTTGTTAAATGTGGGCCAATACTGGATAAGAAAAGTGTGAAAATAAAAATAGCGTTAAGGTGATGTGATCCCCTCCCCCAAATTTCTCTTTACAATAAAAAGCCAAAGAAAAGAGGTTTCCAAAGAAAGCGAGTCAGTAGCTACAATAACTTTGAGGTTTACTGAGAATAGAAATTTTCAGGACACACCTAGAATTACCCAGTTACATATTTGCTACATTGAGATGTTAAGGAGACTCTGTGTTTCCTTTTTTCCCCCCCATTTTCCTCTCCCCACTTGGAATTTGTAATTAGTATCTTTGCAGAGCAAAATGCAGTCAATTCAGGGAAGTATTTGAGGCTTTGTAAGCAAATGATGACAGTGTAAAAGGTATTTGTCTAAATTTGCATTTATACAAAACCTGGAGCTGCTGTGATTTCGGAGTAAATGTGCTTTCAATATTTTCTAAATACAGAGCTGTTGCAGCCCTAACAGTACTTGGCTAAGAAATTGCACTTCTATGATAGGCCGTAATTACCCTTTGGGAAATTATTGGGCTTAAAAAAAATGCCTACCTAATGATACCTGAAGGGTGAGTCCCACTTTGTCCCATTTTGCATCTGTAGTCACTTCTGCAAGACTCCTTTTCCTCTCTTTAAGAGTATCACTGATTTTTATGGCAGGACAAAAGGGCATGGCATTAAAACCTACATATTTAAAATTCTAGAAAACATTTCTTTTTCAGGTAAGAGCCTTTAGTTATACAGAGACTTTTGCAGTATTTATTTTCACCTCTTACACTTGTTTGAACGGTCTTTTTCTGTACATTAACTCATTTGCTGGAATTTCAGTTCTGAAATTCTAATTAAAACTCAACGTCCTTTGTCATTTGCATGATTAAATGTAGGAGCTGGAAAAGTTGATGAGATTTGGTTAAATATTATGGATTGGAGTTTTTCTCCCTTCTATGTGTTAGGCTGTGCTTCTGGACAAATTAATAAGTGGCCATTTTTCTGGAATTCTGCACTCTTCCTGCTTCCTTTCATTACATTAGGCAAGGTTCCACTAGATGAGACATTTGCAGTCTTAAGACTTCCTGCCAGGGTTCAGACTTTGTATTTTTGACATTGAAGCTGTCGTGTTCCTGAAGCTACTTAATTAGAAACACATTCATTTCAGTGTACACTGGAAAAAGCTTGGACAGCAGAGCCCGGCACACTGGGAAGTTTGAGCATTTGTGTAGCTGGCAGCTAAACTAATGGTTTACAGTTTAAGCGAAAAAAATATCATAGGGCATTTCCTTGCCCCTAGAAGCGAAGAGAAGCTGAATGTGCACAGCAGATACCTTTTTTTAAAAAAGGAGAGAGGAAGAAGAAGAAAACAAAGACAAGACAACTCCACTTTCACTGCAGTTGTGTGTATAATTCTTTCTTTGGCTATTATCAAATACAAAAGTCGTCTAGAAGAATAGTTCCCAAACTGTGCTGCTAATATTCAAGTCTGTTTTACAGGCTCCCAAGATATATCACTGCTGAGATCTGTAGTAAGGAGGACATTTTATATTCTGGGGAAGGATTTTTGCTTGAAGAATTTTTTTTGTTGAATGGTGATGAGGGAATTGTGCCCTCTCTTATTTTTAAATGTTTGAGCAATTTTAAAATGCACATCTGACGTTTAAAAACCTTCATTCCCTACCCATTGCTTTCAGGATAAAGCGTAAACTCCTTAGTATTCAAGTGAAAGCACACCTCTGCGTTCTCACTTCTTATCCCTCTGGTTTCCCCCACCCTGTTCCCAAGAAATGCCATCCTTGCAGATCCACTTGCAGTCTCCTGGCTGCCCCAGAGGAAAGGTGCCTGGTCACCTTGACCAGAGCCAGATATCTTTGCTCTAGGCTCACAAAATAACTTTTGCACCTTTCATAGGATGTGTTACGTACTGGAGAGACCTGGGGAAAAGGTGCCCGCTCTCTCTCTTCCTCCTGCTTCTTGACCTCTCTCCCCTACTGTCCCATCGATGGGAGGTGGGCCCAGGGATTTTAGGTTCAGTGTTATGAAGTCAGCGTGGCCCAGAAGAAGAAACTTCAGAGTCCTCCCAGGTTTGCTGCTTCCTTTGTTTTATGGCATTAGAGAAGGGGTTTAAGCTCTCTGGGGCTATTCTCTCCTCTGTAAAATGGGGATAACACCTACCTTATGCCATTGTTATGTGGATTAGGAAAGATGAATTTGAATTTCCTCATATAATGCTTAACCCATTTATTGGTAAGTAGCATCATAAATGATAATGTGTGTGAGTGCGCGCGCACGCGCACTCACACACACACTCCTGAAACTAAAGGAAATCAGTCCATAATGCCCAGGTTTTAAGAGTTGGGTTCTCTACTCCTGCTCAGTCACTGACTTAGGGAACCATTGCCCTCCCTGTGAATGAAGCAGTTGAAAGGGGCTTAGTGAACTGTGGTGTTATTGGATGGCATGTGTGCACTTGGTGGGGGAAGCCTTGCTCGAAGTTCCTCACGTACTTACGCCAGTCAGAATGGACAGTTAGATCACATCTCTGGATGGCAGAAGGAAACAGCAAATAAAATAATCATTCTTCGCCGAAACACATCATGCCTTCCATTCAACCTTGTTAACTGCTTTTTCTGTTGTAATTGTGGCAATAATAGTTTCCATTTGTGCCAGGAACTATACTAATCACTTGACGTGTATTCTCTCTCGTTCTGATCATGAGCTGCCAGTTCAATTCCAGTATCCCACTTTAAAGATAAGGCAACTGAGGCTGTGTAGCCACAGAGCTGCTCCTGAGGGATTAATGCCAAGGTCGGTGCTCTTCCCACCACCCATGCTTGCTTCTCATGCTGTCCACATTTTGAAATTCTCCGGAAGTTTCAAGGCTTGGGAACAAAATGTCACATTAGGATTTTTGTTGTGAAAGGAAATGTAACTGTGCATACGTTTATTAAAACAGTTTTTCTCCAAATAGTGAACCATCTGTAATTTTCTGTCAGAAGCAACAGACATTAAAGCAGCTATGTGTCTCTGTTTCTCTTCACAGTGCTCCCATGCCCTACCTCATAGGAATCCATTTAAGTTTAATGGAGGTAAGTTGGCGCCTTTCCTCCCCAGATCTCTCTACTTGCGGCTTTGTTTTGCTATGTGGCAATGGAAAAGACACAGTCTCTGGATTCACAGCTCTGCACATGGGAGCATGTCGAAGCAACACCTCATACGCAGCCCCCTCCCAGGTGCACAGAGCTGAGCTTTCAGCGGAGACCCTTTCCACTGGGCTCTGGTTTCCAGTGTTTTTCCACTTTGCTTGGAGATTGTCAATTTTCATGGGTGAGGGAGTGAGGTTCAAAGAGGCAGGAGGAAGGGGTTCTTTAAGGGTTTAAATGAGGGAAGGGAAATTGCTTGCTTTTCAAAATGATGTTTATTCTAAATCACTATAACAGTATTACGTTTTCATTGTAGAGCATGTGGTATAAGGAAGTATAAAGAAAGTTAAAATTATCCACAATACCATTATTTCCAGATTCAACTACTGTTAGCATTTCATTATTCTTCCTCCTAGTCTATATTCTGTGAATATATATTTTGTATGAATGTGCATAACCGGTTGTGTGTGTGTGTGTGTGTGTGTGTATAATTTTATGTCTGTTTCACTTAACATTATGGCATGGGGATTTCTACATGTTTTTAATCTACTCTCAGTAATAATAATTTTTAATTTGTTGCCTGTCAGCCCACTGTTTGGATATACCACAACTTAACCATTTTCCTATTATTGTTGGACACTTAGGTTGTTTATCCTTTTCCGCTATTATAAATAGCATTTCAGTGAACATCTTTATGCATAAGGCTTTATCTGCATTTTGACTTATTTCCTTAGCACAGAACCCCCAAAGTAGAAATGCTTGGTCAAAGCTATGAATCTGGTGCCAGATTGCTTTCTGCATGGCTGTACCAATTAGATAGCAGTTCTTTTAAAGGACTTTTCTGTGCTTTTGTAAGTGCCATTGGTTCGTAGACATGAACCTTAAGCTTTTCCCTCCTCAAGAGAGAGTTTAAATTTGTACTAGAGCAAGACGGGGTGGGAGGTGGGGGGCTTGCCTGTTTTGCACAGGAGATACGCTCTCAGAGGGAAAATCTAGAGCCATGTCCGTCTGTGATGATGCTTTGCATGTCTTAAAGGAAGTGCTACTTCTCTTCTTCTGTTCCCTTCATTTCACGTCGACGAGGACCACCTGCTTCTTCACTAACTGTTGCACACTGTGCTATTGTGCTTACGAAAATGAAACAAGTTGGTTATCGAAAAACCTGTTTGTTTGACATTGAGAATCTTGATCAAAATAGACCACAGAAATCTGCTCAAATTTCTAATTTGACAGGACGGCCATGTGGCTCCTACATTCTGTTAACAGTTCCTCCTTGTCATCACCCAGCCCTGAGCACATACAGTACACAGTTTATGGACTATCTTGGATGGTGTATTTAGATCAGATTGAAGAGATTTCTTCTGTGTTTTACCTTTGTTTGTCAAGTTTAGGGGTGTATTCAAAGCTCCTGTGTGAAAAATTGAGAGCGAATCCTTTCTCGTTGACCTTTCATGCCTCCTCTTGCAGAGTTTGAAACACGAATCTAAAGACCATTTGGTCTATCAGAGTCCACAGCTCTTTCCTGCCCCTCCTCCTGCCTTCCAGACTGTTCCAGCACGGGCTTTTCAGACTCCTTTTCATGTGCCTTTACCTTCAGCATTGTCCACGTTTCTAGTCTTAGCTTGCTTTTTCTTCTCCACATGCCCTCTAGTCTTCTCGCGTAAGGCTTTTTGCTTCAGCTACCGAGGTAATGTCAGTGACTCTTGGCTGTGATTCTAACACTGGCGTCCCTTTCTGTGGACTTCAGATGCAAAGTTTCAAGTGCCAGTTGACTGTCACCTAATGTACCACAGATGGCTCAAACTCAGACTTCCCCAAACAGTGCATTACACACACACACACGGCCTTCCGGTGCTCCCCATCCCTGTGAGTGGCACCACTGCCTGCAAAGGCACCAAGGGGGGGACATGCGGAGCATGGCTGAGGGCTCCTCTTCTTCAGTTCTTTCTCTCTAGGTAGTCACCACGTCTCTGACCAGACTCCCACCCTGTTCCTTCCTCAGTGCCTTCATTGATCTTCTTTCTTTGCTCTCTTGGATTCTTATGAAGCCTTCCTCGTTCATTTAATAAGCAAAATGAAGGCCTCTGTGTTGCAGACATTTGCTAGGCTGTGGAGGGATGAAAATGGAGATGAAATTCAAGGCATAGTCCCGACATTGGGTGGAGTGCCTTCTGCCGGGTCCCTGTACCTCTACAGCCCACCTCTCTCTGCCCTCCCCACACCTGGTCAGTCCCTCCACCGCTGTCATGCCTCGTGTCATCTCACTGTCCCTTGCTAGCCAGGGCTCGCAGTGATCCCTAAACACCCACGCCCCCCCCCACACACACACACCCCTGTGGCTAAGCCTGCCCTTCTCCAGCCCTTCCCAAAAGTCCCCCAGTTGTCATCTTTCACTTCCTGTACCTCTTGCTCTGGATGATAGCTGTCTGCTTCTCTGTCCTCTCTGTCATCCCAAGGAGTATGAGTTCTTTGAGAACAAAGACTGTGCTTCGTTCGTTTGGTGTCCTCAGCACCTAGCAGGACGCCAAGCAGGTGCTTTCTGAAAAGAAGAATTGAGGGCCTGCTTGGAAAACTGGAATTCGGAACACATTTAGAGCCTCCAATAGGCATCACTGTTTCCAGGGAACCCAGCACTATAATTTTACTTGGAGTAAATTTTTGACTTCTTGTATGATTATAAGGCATTTTTGAAAAGGCCTTTGGTAGTAAAACATGCAATGCAAAATATACATAAATTTTGAAGCTAAAATTTGAGACAGTTTTGCGTTTAGGTAAATGGGTGCAAGTCTACTCTCCTCAGCCTTTGAAGGGCTTTAAGTGAGAAGGTTCAGGAAGCACCAGGCAAGATAAACCTTAGACCTGTTTGAAATTGGGGAGGGGTTTGCCATGCTGAACTCCTGTGTGGTCAGCACTAAAAGAAAAACAGAAAGAGTTGTCGCCCCATTCTTGAGGCCAGCTAAGCCACTTTCCAGACAAAGTCATGTTTCCTGGGTGTGTTGGGCAGCCATGAACTACCCAGTCATGGGTTTGAGTCTATCTCCTCGCGTAGGTTTCAGCTCAGACTTCCAGTGCTCTAGTCATTCCTTTTGATTGGGTTTATCTGGTTCTATTATACCCTTCAAGGGAAAGAAATGCTTTCCTGAGATTTCTTCCAGGAACTATGGGCTGTAATGCTCAGGGAGGAGCTCGTACCTGGGGCCAAAGGAAAGCTCTTTAAGGAAGGAGCTCGGGAAGGCCCATCTCCTCTCGCACACTAGTTTTCTTACTGGCAATTCAGCAAAAAGCTTATTTTTGACTGTCTTGTTATTTTTTCTTGAAAGCTATAGGCACCTTATTATGCCTTTGCATATGTGCCAGAATTTTTTAAACTTCAAATGAATGTGGCAGATGTTCATAAAAGTTTAGAAAAAGCTACCATAGGAAGACTTTTTAACCATTTTTATGACACTCAAATTTGTTGCACAAAAGGAAATATAAATTATAACCTAGTGTTCTCATTTGAAAAAAAGTTATTTTGGGGAAAGACCTCATTCTGGTCTTCCTGCTCTACCAGGATGCCCTTGCTGTGTGTTAAATGGTAACCTTGTCCCCTTAAAGAATCTGCCTTCCTTCTAAAGTGACAAGTTTATAGTTGATCGTGATTCTTACCCCTCCTTCTGCCTTTTTATATTCTTTCTCTCATTTAAGCAAACATTAATTTGAGGCTAGTGGTAAGTTAGCAGGATAGCCAAGGCTATTGGCATAGACCTAGTTTCTTCTTGGAGAGAATGATCTTGTTAGCTGGCAGCTAGGAAGTACCGAAACGTGGCCAGATTACACAGTGGCTGTTCCCTTTCATTCTTTCAACCTCAGTTCAGTTCAGGAGACGTTTCTGCCGCCCCTCTTCTGCGCCATGGCTGGTAGCAGGTGCCAGGTCACATCTGGTCGATGGTGCTTCTCCTGTTTGTTAAATGAAGACTTTCCAAGCCTCACAAACAATGCTTTGTGTCCAGGCCTCAGAGCGACATGAGGGATGGATGCAGGATATCATGTATGTATCATTCCTGGTGGCAGAATGCTCAGGGAGGAGGAAGGAAAGGCAATAGCCCTGGCACGGTTCCAGACGGAGGCTCGGGTTAGCCTATAGATGCTGCTCCACCTGTACACAGAGGCAGTGAAGTGTAGTGGTTAGAATGTGGGCTCTGGATGCTGGCTCCCCTACTTCCTGCTTATGCGATCTTGGGAACCATAATTGACCTCTTTACCTCTGTTGTCTTATGTATCAAGTGAGGGCAATGGCCATCGCTACCTTAAAGGACTGTTGGGGGATCCAGTGAGATAACGCTTACTGGGTGCCTCGCACAGTTCCTGGCACATAGAGTTCAACAGAGATCAACAACCATTGCTGTTTTTATTTCCTCAATGGCCTTAAAGCCATTTACATTGATAAGCTGATGGCTTTGAATTCTGTTTCAGAGACGCTTAGGTTGCCAGGCTCATCATCCTCATCACCTGGGGAAGGAAAATGTCAGCAAAACTGGTTTGTGCTCGCCCTGTTGTCTCCTGGTTTGCAGTGCCAGAGAGACTATGTCAGGGATGGGAGCCGTACTTTTGTAGAATTTGAATGCACTGTCATTCCTCTGCTGGACTGCTCCCCTGCTGTAGGAATTTCAGGCATGATACTTTGTTTCTCTGTATTTTACTTTCTTCATCTGGAATAGTGGTTAGTATCCATCTTTTAGGATTGTGGTAAGGATTAAATAAGGGAGTCCTGTATGTGCCCAGCATGTCCCAGGGCCTGGCCTGTGGTAGGATGCAGTCTACATCCCCTTCTACAGGAATGTTTTGAGAGCCTTCTGCGTACCCAGGCACTGCATCATGCGAGGAGTTCTGTATGAAATCGTGAATGTCACATAATCCCTGCCTTCACAGGGTTTTGTCTGGAGCAGATGCAGACAAGTGGAAAG